GCTGTTGACATAGTTTAGTATTTGTATTTCTTCTTGACCCTATCCAAAATGCCCTTGTTTTTTCGGTATTTATCTTTAAACCAGAAAAGGCATAAAATTTATCAAGCATGTTTAGACAATTTTCTAATGATTTCTCAGTTCCATCTAAAAACAGCTGTGTGTCATCTGCATACTGACATAACTTATATTCTTTATTGTAAATCGTTATTCCAGTAATATTATTATTTTTCCTAATCATTGAACCCAAAACTTCCGCACATAAGATATAAATATAGGGTGAAATTGGATCTCCCTGTCTACAACCACGCTTAACTTAAAAGAAATCTGATAAATGACCATTTTGTATGATACAGGTTTCTGACCCATTTTGGAATAACAAATAACACAACATAATGAAACGGTTTTTAAAAAGTCAAGGGCAATAATTCTATAAAAAATACTATACAAATTCACATGAAAATACCCCGGTGCACAACTACACATGCTGATCAACATTCCTGTAAAGTTTCATGACTCTAGGTCAAATCCTTTTTGAGTTACATGCGACACAAGTTGAAAATTGCAAATTTTTACTAAGTCAAGGGCAATAACTCTAAAAATACTACATAAATCCACACGAAAATACCCAGGTGCACAACTACACATGCTTATAAACATTCCTGAAAAGTTTCATGACCCTATGTCAAATCCTTTTTTAGTTACATGAGACACAACTTGAAAATTGCAAAATTTAACTAAGTCAAGGGCAATAACTCTAAAAATACTTTATAAATCCACATGAAAATACCCAGGTGCACAACTACACATGCTGATCAACATTCCTGTAAAATTTCATGACTCTAGGTCAAATCCTTTTCGAGTTACATGAGACACAAGTTGAAACTTGGAAATTTTCACTAAGTCAAGGGCAGTAACTCTAAAAATACTAAATAAATCCAAAAGAAAATACCCAGGTGTACAACTGCATATGCTGATCAACATTCCTGTAAAGTTTCAAGACTCTAGGTCAAATACTTTTTGAGTTACGTGGGAAAAAAGTTGATAATTGAAAAAGTCAAAAGCAATAACTCTGACAAAACAGAAAAAAACCAGGTGCACAACTTCACATGCTGAGCAACATTCCTGTGAAGTTTCATGACTCTAGGTCAAATACTTTTTTAGCTATGCGCAACACAAAATGAAAACAGACGGAAGGATGGAAGGACAGATGGAGGTTCGGACGGACGTTCCAACATTCTGGGTTTAGGGGCTATTTTCTTTGTTATTTTCTTTGTTTTCTTAAGGGCTACTAGCCCATAAACCCTTTGATCACGGAATGAACCTATTGTTCTCTTTTGTTCTCTTTACTGTTACACAGCCCCTAAACCCAAAATGTTTGCTCGGACAGATGGATAAATCTAAATGCCTCCTCTAAAGTGGGGGCACAAAAAAGAAATTCAATTTTAACATAATAACTTTAGTTTGCTGTGACCTATTGACACCAAACTTGCTGTGTGGGCAGCTTATATTAAGATGCAGCTTGGGATTGCTATAGGTCATAGATTGGTGTCAATAGGCCTTAGCAAACTCAAGTTATTGAGCGAAAACTGAATTTCTATTTTTAGCAACAGTGACCTTCACCTTGATCACAGACACCTGAGTAGCAATCCCAAGCTGTGTCTTGATATAAGCTACACATACACCATGTTTAGTGTCAATAGGCCAAAGTGAACTTATGTTATTGAGTGGAAACTGAATTTCTATTTTTAGCAACAGTGATCTTGACCTTAATCAAACACATCTGGGTAGCAATCCCAAGCTGCCTCTTGATATAAGCTACCCATACACTAAGTTTGGTGTCAATAGGCCTAAGCAAACTAAAATTATTGAGCGGAAACAGAATTTCTATTTTTAGTAACAGTGACCTTGACCTTGATCACAGACACCTGGGTAGCAATCCCAAGCTGTCACTTGATATAAGCTACCAACACACCAAGTTTGGTGTCAATAGGCCGAAGCAAACTCAAGTTATTGAGTAGAAACCAAAGTTGACGCCCACCAACAAAACAGTACTCATATGTTCTCAAAAACATTAAGGGGTTTTCAAAATTTTCATTTACTATGGGTAGCTGATATAATTACGTGTAACTGCGCCGTATCTGATCCAAATCGGTTGAGTAACAGCAAAGTAATTAATAAACAAGAATCTGTGTTTGATAAACACAAATGCCCCCGCGCTCACTGTTGTCAATAATTTAACTTTAGAGAGTGAAGTAGCTAATTTGTATGTGTCTTCTCACCTGAGCATGTTTTACTCTATCCTTCAGTTTCTTTTCCATCTTAGCCTTTTCATCTTGATTATTTCTCTCAAAAGCCTTTAGCTATTAAACTCGGTAAGTAAATGCCTTCATTAATTGTTAACACTTTTTTAAATGATAAGAAAGAACAATTTGTTACTAAGAGATGCAAGCAAATTATCGCAGTTCATGAAGAAAACCAATCATGTGTAGAAATCTGTAATTGGCACCCTTGACCTTGACCAACTGACCCCTACCTCTATCAAAAGGAAGAATATCATGCAAGTTATTTTCCTACCAAATATGAAATAAATCTGTCAATAAATAAAGGCTGTATGGGCAAAAGTGTAAAAAATCTATTTTTAGCACTGGTGACCTTGACCCAACTGACCCCTAACTCCATCCAAAGGAAGAATATCATGCAACTTATTTTCCTACCAAATATGAAATAAATCTGTCAATATATAAAGGCTGTATGGGCAAAAGTGTAAAAATCTATTTTTAGCACTGTTGACCTTGACCCAACTGACCCCTAACTCCATCCAAAGGAAGAATACCATGTAAGTTATCTTCCTACCAATTATAATACAAATCTGTCAATAAATAAAGGCTGTATGAGCAAAAGTGTAAAAATCTATTTTTAGCACTGGTGACCTTGACCAAACTGACCCCTACCTCCATCCAAATGAGAATACCTCAATTTTATGTTCCTACAAAATATACAAGACATCTGTCGATAGAATAAGGTTAATAACTTAATACACCTGTAAAAGTGTAAAAAATCTATTTTTGACATTGGTGACCATGACCCGACGGACCCCTTACTAAAGGAAAAGGAAGAGGACCTCCCTTGGTATGACTATTAGTATTATAAACATGAAAGACATTAACTTAAAAATAAAGGCTGTATGAGCAGAAATGTTTAGATTTATTTTTTTACACAAGTGACCTTGACCTTGACCTAGAGATGCCTAACACCACAAAAAATTAGGGGACCGTTAAAGGTATCCTCCTACCAAATATGAAAGATATCATTAAATAAATTAAGTAATTAGGTGAAATTTTTTGATAAATCCAACTTGGCGGAATAGGTTAACCATACAAGGCCCTATTTTCAAAGTGATAAAAAGGGAAATTACTGGGAAAATGGATGGCACATTTATATAACTTGGCAATATCATGTACATTGTATTGATAAGTGTGAAAATTATTAAGCCAATAGTTCAGATAGAACATAAGATATTTCCAACTTGCCGGTTTAGGTTAACCATTATTCATTTTCTAAGTGCTGAAAAGGGCCATAACTTGGTGCAAATGGAAGCCATAGTTATGTAACTTGCCCAGATCATATACTTTGTATGGATTAGTAAGTGTGTAAATTATAAAGCCATTGGTACAGGTAGAACTTAAGAAAAATCCAACTTGCCCATCTAGGTTAACCTCGTACGGACGGACGGACAGACGGATGGCTCAATTACTTTATGCCCAGGGGCATAAAAACATACTTTAATCAGAGAAAAATCTGCGTGTACCATACCCAAAAAGTCACCTGGAATATAAATATTTCTGCCAAATACTGATTTAATTAACTACAATGGGTTTAAAAGAAACAGAGCGGACACAAATTTTGATATTGATGAAAAATGACCTTGACATGAGGTAGGTCAAACCTGCGCTCTGCATATCCTCTCATTATGGTTAACATTTTTGCCAAGTAGTTTCAATTTCCTTTTCAAAAGATACAGACCTGATTCAAAAACCTGCTAACACTGGCGGCCGGATGGGTGGACAGATGGGTTCATAACAATATATGCCGGAATTTTTTCGGGCTGATAACAACAAATTAATACATTTCAATATCAAAATTATCAAAATATCATTTTTAACTAATTAATTGTTGTTTTTGTTAACACATAAAAATATATACAATCGAATAAGTGATGAAATTTTGAGTAGTATAATTATGATTATTTACCAACATGCAATGTAGAATCAATCAAGGATCAGATTGAAATTCTTCACCTTCTTTGGTGATATTCACCGTGATGCAAGGGCTTTATGCAAGAAACCAAATCAGTTTTAAATGTTCTTATATAACAATGTCACATGCCTTTTCTTATACTTTAAAGTCTGCTGCTTTAAAAAGATTAAGTTTAAGTCAAATTTGGTGAATAAGCAGAGGTTATGTCTCAAAATATGGAATTCATAGAATTATTTGCCTGGATATCAGTACCAAAACAAATAAAACAAGTGTCAAGGTATCCTAACAAATTGTTTCGTAATGTTCCGGGTCTATACTTGGCCATATTTCTATAAATGTGTAACTACAACATCTGACAGTCTGCATCTTTGACTTTCTACAGAGTTATGTCTTTATTGTGTATCGACTGTGTAAAACATTTAAAACAGGAATGTAAAAATAATGCATTAATAATTATTGTACAACAGTTAAACACTGAATTTGTACAAGTATATGGCTGAAATGAGCCATGCAGTAAGTAAACGAACCAATTTGTTTTACTGATAATCAAATTGATAAACTGCATAAAAGATATACACAGTAGCATTTGTTGTAAATCAGAACTGTTTTAACCCTATGTCATTGTCATCTTCCGGTGTTTAAATTTCTAGACATGGGCTTAAAATCAAGTGTCTCTCTTTCAATAACAAAATATCAAGTTAATGTAAAAAAACAACAACAACATAATAATGTTTAACACTTGCCTCTCTCAAGTGATCAAGTAAATCCCCAGGCCTCAGTCCTATAGTATCATCAGGGGCACCAAGAGGGTGCATCAGACTTCTCAATAGGCCACGATATATCTTTTCATGCTGAAAACATTACATTATAATTCAGTAATATAATAGATTCATTTAAAATTCTGTAAAAGAGAAACTTTTCAGATATAGATATTGGAACGTGTAATGTCTGAATAAAGACCTTTATGATTACTAATAAATGATTTTTACAATAAAGAATAAATAAAAAATACCCATCTTTCTTCAATTAGAAGCCTATTCATGCGAGTTATTTTTAAAAAAGGCCTTCTCATAATCCAAAGAAAAAATGTCTACAGCTGCTTAAACCTGAGTCTTATTATTTGGAAAAAAACTTTAAAGGTTATCTTACTTAAACCAATAAAATTACAGAGGGAAATTAAGACGTTCTGTTAATTTCACCATAGAAACATCATCGGAAACTGTTAGAAAATAAATAACTGCTAATATTGTTCAAACATAGAATAAATCAATATAAGGGACAATATACATTTATTATGGAATAGGAGCGCTTTCTTAGACATTTTTGTATACATTGCTGCGAGCAGTGCAGAGCTGTGCCATCTAATCATGATCTGCACTGTTCCCTTTTTTAGTCAATATATAATTTGAAACTTTCCCTAACAAAGAAAAAATATTGCGTAAGGTGATGGATCCTTAACAAACCCCGCAAATCACTGCACATTATACATGTACTAATTAACAAGAGCCCGGTTTGAGCCGGGTGATGCTCCCCGAATAGGTTTTGGACACAGGAAAGTACACCTATTGTAGTTTCAGAGTTAGGTCCCTGGAAAGAGTTCAAAGTGCAATAATTCCAAAATTAGGCAAGGCAGAGTTACTGTTCTTTGCACTGCACTTCTAACCACCTACAAAGTTTATTGTTGATACCTCTTATGGTTTCCAAGTTACGTCTCGGACAAAGTTCAAAATGTAAAAATGAACAAAGGGCAATTACTATAAAATTTGGCAAGGTGGAGTTCAAGTTCTTGTGCACTGCACATCTACCCATTGAGATCTATCTACCTACAAAGTTTCATGTTGATATCTCTTGTAGTTTTAGAGTTATTTCCTGGACAAGATTTTATTAAAATGGGAGATAATTCAAAAATTGGGCAAAACAGAGTTATGTTTTTTTTGGACTGCACTTTTACTCAATGAGATCTATCTACCAACAAAGTTCCATGTTGATATCTCTCATAATTTAAGAGCTATGTCCCAGACAAAGTTCAAAAAGTAAAAAGAAACAAAAGGCAATTACTCCAAAATTAGGCAAGGCAGAGTTATGATTCTTATTCACTGCACATCTACCCATTGAGATATATCTACTTACAAAGTTTCATGTTGATATATCTCATACTTTTACAGCTATGTCCTGGACAAGATTTTTCTAAAAGGGGAGATAATTCAAAAATGAGGCTTAACAGAGTTATGGTTCTTTTGCATTGCACTTTTTCTCAATGAGATCAATTTACCTACAAAGTTTCATGTTGATATCTCTTATAGTTTTAAAATTATGTCCCGGACATGATTTTTCTAAAAGGGGAGATAATTTAAAATAGGCAAAATAGAGTTATGGTTCTTTGACACTGCACTCCCCCTCAATGCCCTCTACCACTGTATGAACTTAAAATAAATCATCTCCAACAGTTTTCAAGTTATGCTCCGGACAAGACAACGGACGGACAGACAGACGGACAAGGTGGCGACTATATGCTCTCCCTTCGGGGAGCATAATAAACAGACAGTAAAGCTTCAGGTATGACCATCCTAATGCATTACCTTCCCTTTGAAGAGTATTTAACTACATTGAAATTTAGGGCCATGTATGGGTACTATTATTTACGTATCTGCGACCGGGGGCTGCCTAGGGGCTGGGGCTGGATGCTGCTGTGTGCTGGGGCTGCAGCGGCCCTTTCTGCACGTCACAACTTCTCCACTAATAACAGCAACACTGTACGGGAACCTAGACCTCCGGTAGAGCTATGCGGTACCGGTTGTTTAAGCTGTGGGGAATTAGCCGAGGTCTTAATTGAGTCCCGATACAAAATATAAAGTGTCCACCCCAAGCAGTCGGTCACGTAGTTTACTATCAGTATGTAGAGTGTGATAGCAGATAACTTTGATGAAATAAGGATGAACACAAATGTTCCTAATTACTTATTCAATTTATTGATTTTATTTATGTCACGGTTTAATAATATAATATTCCATACAAAGTTTCTAATAGTTCACTTTTATTAAAATATATTAAGTCCACAATGTTTCTTATCAAAATGATTCCAAGATTCTTTTAACACACCTTTACAATATAGTTCTTATTCTTAATAATTCCTATTCTGTTCCTAACAATTCTTAAAAATTCCAATTCTCAATTCTTAAAAGTTCTAATTCTATCTTAACTTATTTTTGTCTCTCTTTATATAATATTCTCAAGTATTATTAATTCAAATAATTAATTGATTAACCAATAAAAATTGAAAAACATTGACCAATGAAAAATAATAACAAGAGAGCCATGATGGCCCTGATTCGCTCACAAGAAACAACTGTTTTTCAGTGATTATAGAAATATTTTTTTCAAATAAACTTGTAGTAAGACAAGTCCAGGTCAACTTCAACTTGACTCTCTAGTTATAAGGTTTCCCGACACTGATTGTTTTTTTCATTATAGTAAAAAAGTAAAAATGATAGGAACCAAGTTTGGTGATCATCCATCCATTAATTTGTGATAAAATTTGCCTTTTACTGTTTTTCAAAATTGCGATCTTTCTTTTTTTTTACTTACCGGTATCTTAAAAATTAGATAATTACATAATCTCAGTATTTAGATATGTATATATATACATGTATACTGTCTGTCAGGATGACACCACCGGTCAATATTTATTTAAGATAACATAGGTATACATGTACAATGTAGGTATACTAGTCAACTCGACCAGAAAGTTAACATTTCAGTCTAATAAAAATGGGAAAAATTGTAACTTTAACTACATAGAGGAAAAAGGCAAAAGGTTGTTTTGATGAAATGTATTCAGTGAACATGAAAACAACTTTACATACATTGTATGAAACAGTGCAAAATTACTTTCAACAAGTGATAACCAAGTTTGCAAAATGTGATTCTGAATAGAAATAATTTAAACTGATACTAAAATAACACAAAGAATAGAAAATGACTCTCAAAAATGAGCATCGGTAAAAATGATATGTGAATTTCCGCTGCACTAGATGTGAAGCATTACACCAGATGTGACTGAAAAATAGGCCGATCGCAGAGTAAGTTTTCATCTTTTTAACCATTTATATAAAATTCAATCCTTTTTTTAAGAAAATCGAAATGTGATTCTACCCTCCTGACTCTCCTCTATAGATATTACCCCTTGTTGTTTTGGATTTCTATGCAGTCTTCATCGAGATATTCTTTCTGTCGTGGGTTCTGGTGTGTCCAAAACATGCAATATAAATGAAGAAAATGTCACTAAACAGATTAATAAAACAGAGATTTTATGAAATCTCACTACAGGTCGATGCTAAACATTCAAACAAATCCTGGCTTAAACATTTATTGACATTTGGCTACATACAAGGGAATCGCAGCTCAAAATTGCATTTGAGCTCCAGATGTGCTGAAGAGATTAATATGTGCATAACATAACAAGAACTGTTGGAGGACAGTAACGCTCGACTATTCGAAAATTTGTCACAAGGGTGTTTCATTGAGTATAATAATGCTTACCTATATGAATACATAAAATTGTCCGAAAAGGTACAAACCCTTCAAGTTTCAATACATTCCCTTCAGTAGTTATGGAGATACAAGCTTACACACAAAAACTTAGCCAAGAATTTATGAATCGAAAAAGGGGCATTATTATGCAAAAAAGTAAATCTGAGTTATTGGACTTGTGCCAATCATCTTAGATAATCACAGACAACAAGAGTGTGTAGTTTCAATCCATTCCCTTCAGTAGTTTTGGAGATACCAGCTTACACGCAAAAACTTAACCAAGAATTTCTAAGTCGAAAAAGGGGCATAATTATGTAAAAAAGCAAAACAGAGTTATGGGACTTGTGCCAATCATCTTAGATAATCACAGAGAACAAGTGTGTGAAGTTTCAATCCATTCCCTTCAGTAGTTATGGAGATACCAGCTTACATACAAAAACTTAACCAAGAATTTCTAAGTCGAAAAAGGGGCATAATTATGATAAAAAAAAGCAAATCAGAGTTATGGGACTTCTACCAATCATCTTAGATAATCACAGAGAACAAGTGTGTGAAGTTTCAATCCATTCCCTTCAGTAGTTATGGAGATACCAGCTTACACGCAAAAACTTAACCAAGAATTTCTAAGTCGAAAAAGGGGCATAATTATGTAAAAAAGCAAATCAGAGTTATGGGACTTGTGCCAATCATCTTAGATAATCACAGAGAACAAGTATGTGAAGTTTCAATCCATTCCCTTCAGTAGTTATGGAGATACCAGCTTACATACAAAAACTTAACCAAGAATTTCTAAGTCGAAAAAGGGGCATAATTATGAAAAAAAGCAAATCAGAGTTATGGGACTTGTGCCAATCATCTTATATAATCACAGAGAACAAGTGTGTGAAGTTTCAATCCATTCCCTTCAGTAGTTCAAGTTACATATCATTTATTAGTGAATTGTTTATCATAAGAGTACTATCCGCTCTGCGTCAACATTTTCATGTACTCGGGCCTTTTAGTATTTCTAATGCTAGCATAAGCTAGTAAGCTCTGTCACTGCGGTAATCAAACACACTTAATGTTACAATTGAACTTTCAGCCAAAGCTGCAAAACCTATATTGTTTCTATACATTGCTATTCAATGATTATATGGAAGTGGTCCGTAGTTTTGTAGATTCTTTTCTACATTACTTATGAATCTCTTCAGCACATCTGGAGCTCAAATGTACTATGAGCAGCGATTCCCTTGTATGTAGCCAAATCTCAATAAATGTTTAAAACAGGATTTAATTTTTGAATGTTTAGCATCGACCTATAGTGACATTTCGTAAAATCTCT